GAAAACGCTTCCTCTGCCTCCATTGCCACATTCCTGAGAACACCGATGTTATTAACCTGTTGTAATTCCTCTCTCACCAAACCAATTGCTCATAGAAACATACACATAAACATAGTGTTTTTAATTTTTTTATTGTTGACAGTATTACAGATGTCTCACATTTTTCTCCCTTTTTGCCCCCCGGGTAGTGTTTTTAATTATTTTTAAAAATATGCTCATGATCTATATGTTGCTCTGCAACTTGTTCTATCACTTAGAAACGTTTCATCGCTACCCCTGAATCTAGTTTACTTATTTTCATAGCTGCGTGATATTCAGCTATGGATATTGCTCACTTTATTTCACCACCTCTCTATTTACGAACATTTAGGTTACTTTCAGTTTTTAGCCTCTACAAACAGTACACAGTAAACATTATAATATATTTATGAGCTTAAATACATGCACTCTTATTTCAGTAGGAGAAATTCCCCAAAGTGGGATTTCTGGGTCAGAGGTTATTGTATCTTTAATACTTTAAATATTGACAGGTTACTTTCCCAGTAGGCTGAAATAAGTCACATTCCCACTTTCCTGCCTCCTCACCAGAGAAAGTGAAAAATGGTGTTTCACTGCTTTGATTTGTATTTCACTGCTTGGTAGCGATGTTATTCATATTTTCATATATTTATTTCTTTACATTATTTTCTGACGGGCCTGTTCATATTCTTGATCTGTTTTTTTTTTTTTCTTGTCTATTAAGAGTCTGAGCTCTGAAGCCAGTCAGCTCAGAGTCCAGGCTTCCATTTGATGTTGTGAGTTCCAAGGCAGAGCATTTACCACAGAAGCCCCAGTGTCCTCTCTTTTAAACAAGGACACTAGTAGTGCCTGCCTCCTAAGTTTGTACAAAATTTAAATGTGCCCTTAGAATGATACCCAGTATAGAGATGTTTGCTATTATCAATAAATATGCATTTGATCATTATGTTACTTCCAGATACTTATTATTCCCTGGCTCAGGGACAAAGCCCTGCTGCTCCCAAGCCTCATTTTCGTACGGCCTAGGCTTTACTTGGTAATTTCTTCAAACACGATTTATCGGGCATCTCTTCTGTTTACTGCATCCTGGGCTTTGGGAGGGATGGGAGGCACTTTAAGAAGCCGAGTTTGCTTTCATCTGTCTCATCGCAGAGCTGTCAGTGTATGTAAGGTGGATTATAAACTCTTAGGCTATTTTTACCTCTAAAGTGGTCCCTTCTTTCAGTGGTTTCTCCAGTGGAGACTATATCTCTTGGATATTAGAGGCAATATCAGGATGCTTTGAGTCTGTTTCGGGCAGGTTGTTGATTTTCTTCTTTTGTATGTCTGCATCCTGTTTTCTTCTTTCTGTTCCCCTCCCATGCTGAGGCGTGATGATGTGACTTGTGGTTTTTGCAGAAAGGAGCACGTGAGAGAGGACATCCTATTCTGACTCTGTAAATGTACAGATTTAACCACTGAGAGTCAGAGTAACGAAAAGAACAGAATATAGATTAGAGGCACCAGGTGTGAGATCTAATGTGGCTGGAGATGACGTAGGTCTTGTGATTACGTTAGAGTTTTCTTCTCTCTGTTCCCACTCCCACTTCTGCAGCCCCCACCTCTGCCACCATATGTCTCAGTGGCCCCTTCTCCAAGCCTGTGATTCCAGCCTTCATCCCGACCTTGTACTCAAGTTTCATCTCTAGCTGTCGGCTGGGTATTTCCAGTTGGAAATCCCAGATACATCTTCGAACTCTGATTCATCTCCTTCTCCACAGACTTGCTCTTCCTCCTGAATTACCCATCTTAGTTACTGGCCTCTCGGGCTAGGATCCTGCAGTTGGTTATGGGCCTTGCTGTGCAGCTGAGGGGCGCTGTGATGCTCAGGAGAGGTCATGTGGCTTCCTGGGCTTTCCCGTTTTAATCTATTTCCTCAGCCCGCCCGGACGGAAGCTTCTGAAATGCAAAACTGGTCATTTTATTCCCTTGCTTAAAATACTGTGGGATTTATTTGGATTTTGAATGGAATCTCCAGTCTTTAACATACAAATCCCCAACTCAGTTTTCTTTACTTTTTCCATTCTACCCACGCATTCTGTCATAACGAATGGCTTGGTAACTGCGCAGGTAAGACTTGCACCTTTGTACTTGCAGTACCTCCTCCCAGAATGCTCCTCTGTCTTTTCCTACCCAAACGTTCTGGTCCTTCAAGATGGGTCTTCCTCCGGGAGCTTTTTCCTGACCGCCTCCTCCCAGTCCAGGCTTTCACTGTCCCTATGCTTTCTTTTGCCATTTTTATTGTCTATGTATATCCTGTCTTCCCAGCTAGTGTTCCTTAGGAGCAGGGACTTTGTGTCATTCATAATTGTGTCCCTAGTCCCTGATACACAATAGGTGCTCAATAAATATTTATTTAATGAACCAACAGTGCCCCCTCCCTGCCACAAACACCTGTGGCTGTCCCTCAGTATCTGCCATCGTGTTCTCCATCCTGCCATTCAAAACGCATTCCTTTCTCTTCCGTTGCTTGTACCCTTGGTCTTAAGTGGACCCTAAATTTTTCTGCCACCTGGGCTCATTTTCACAGACAGTATCTATCTATCCATGTTGTGCATCCTCTTCATTCATCCTGAAACGTTTGTTGTTCTCCGTTTTGCTATCTAAATTCCACCCCTATGTTCAAGCCCGGCCCCTATTCAATTACATTATGAAGCCTTTCTTGATAGGAATGCTTAATTATTCTCTTTTGCTTTCTTTGTATTGTTTTTGGCTCTCCATTTGATTGTCAGCTTCATAAGGTCAGGGATCAGATATTGACACCCTACTCCCCCCCACACCCCTCCCGCCTGCCACCGCACTCTCACTGTATGATAATCCATCCTGGTTCCTTCACAGGCAGGCTCTCCAAGCCGAGGGCAGAGTCGTCTGGCAGCCTGGCGCTTCAGGAGGGGGTGGCTTTCAAACAAACTTGGACACCCCTGTCAGAAAAGGGCTATTTTTAAATGTAATTTATATTTTTTGTTTATCTTGTTACCAGAGTACCCGAGAAGCAGAAATCAAACTGAAAAGTGAAAGCAGAGTTAAACTTTTTCACTTGGACCCGGATGCCCAGGTAGGAACTATTTTAATGTTTAAAACCAAGTTCGAAAATAAAGCCTTTGACAGGTTGTTTATTTATGTGTTTATTTTTGATTGACAAGCAATATAACAACAATACAGAAAATTCAAAGGGAAAAGGAAAAATAAAAACAGGCTGTAATCTCACTGTGTCGCCCAACCATTGTGAATATTTGATATTCATCTGATTGTTGAAAATTGAGAGTTATCCAAAGACATTCTCAGGTCCACAAAGAACATGTAATTCACCCCACAAAATAGTAGTCAGAAAAGAACAGGCATCACTGCAGACGCCCAGCAGACAGTGATATTTCCTGACTTGCTCAAGCTCAACCCCAAGTTGTAGTGCTTGTGATCCACATCGGTGTCCCAGCAAAATGCAAGGCACGGACGGCATGGCGAGGACCACAGGGCTGCCCACAGTAGGGTGGCTCTGAGGGGACAATGGCTCTGCAGTATTTCCTTCTGTATTTCCCCCTCTTCATTGATAGTCTTTTTATAGAACGTCTTTTCCCCCACTTAACTTTAATAATGAATGTTTTTCTGTGTTTCTTCACAGGCTTCATAACCATATATATTTTGACAATATTTTACTTGTGATAAAGTATACATGACATGAAATTTACCATTTTGGCCCTTTTTAAATATGCAGTTTAGGGTTAAGAACATTTACAGTGCTGTGCAACTGTCACCACTATCCATTTCCAGAACTTTTTCATCATCCCAAACAGAAACTCTTTATCCGTTAAACAATGACTTCCCCAGGCCTCCTTCCCCTCACCCCTAGTAACCTCTATTTTACCTTCTGTCTTTGTGAACTTGCCTATTTTAGGAACCTCTTTTATGTGAAACCATACAATATTTATCCTTCCGTGTCTGGCTTATTCCACGTAGCTTAATGTTTTATGATCCATCCATGTTGTAGATTGTGTCAGAATTTTATTTCTTTTTATGGCTGAATGCTATTCCATGGTATGTATATATGACATTTTGTTTATCCATTCATCTGTTGATGGACACTGAGTTGCTCATAACCATGATTTTAAAACTCTCCATGATAATCCATCAAGTAAATATACCATCATTTTTTACCATTTTTATAAACTGTATAAACTTATAAAGTAGTAATACTATTGTGAGTAATAGTGTATATGGCTTTTCCATATGGCAGTTTCTTTAGGGTACAATTACTATGGGATTTTTTTTAATGCAAGCGCAATGTATTTACATGTTTGCTTTTTTTTTTTTTAAAGAAGCTTGATTTACCGTCAGCTGAGCCAGAAGTGAAGCCATTTGAAGAGAAGTTTGGAAAAAGAATTCTTGTCAAGTGCAATGATCTGTCTTTCAATTTGCAATGCTGTGTTGCCGAAAATGAAGAAGGACCCACTACAAATGTAATTTTTTAAAAAGATTTCCTTAAAAAAAAAACACCCAGAGGTTTCAGTTGTTCCCATTACAGTGCAGACATGAAATTCTAGTTCTTGGTATCAAGGCGGTACAATATTTAGGTCAGGATGTGGAGGCTTGTTTAGCCTGTGGGGACAGGATGTTTGTCACAAAGGATGGGGATCGAGGCAGTTTCTCTTTGGCGGGAATTTATAGCCGCAATCATAGATAAGTCCAGTCATTTCTTCTTTGAGCCCGAGTGATGGTCTGGACTGTTCTGTTTTGTTTTGTTCAGGTAGAGCCTTTCTTTGTTACTCTGTCCCTGTTCGACATAAAGTGCAACCGGAAGATTTCTGCCGATTTCCACGTGGACCTGAACCATTTCTCGGTGCGGCAGATGCTGGCCGCCCCATCCTCGGCTCTGATGAACGGCAGCGGGCAGAGCTCTCCCACCCTCCCGGACATCCTCCATGACGCCGCCATGCAGTATCCGAAGCAGGTGGGGACCGGAGCCCAGCGGTCACGATACCAAGCCGTAGCTTGCACATGCTATGTAAACACATAGAGACTTTGTAAAAGCAAGCTGAGAGGAGTGGCTTTGGATTTCTCATTTCTTTTTTCTAAATGGCCTCCCGCACCAAAAGCCTATTTGAGCAGTTGATGAACTATTGATCAGTTAGCCAGTTTGGCACTGGGTGCTTCTTAATAGCTAAACGGTTCACCCTTCTTTGCTGCTTTGGAACCTTTAATATTCATGGGATTTGTTTAATGTGGCTGTGAGTCCTACTTACTGAAGAAAATGTTTTGTCCCCTAGGGAATATTTTCAGTCACGTGTCCTCATCCAGATATATTTCTCGTGGCTAGAATCGAAAAGGTCCTCCAGGGGAGCATCACGCACGGCGCGGAGCCGTACATGAAAAGTTCAGACTCTTCCAAGGTAGGGATGACTTGTGTGCTTTGTGAAGATAAATAGCAATCGGAAAAGAAGGCTTTCCATTGAAGTAGAGATGCTTAAAGACGTCAAAGTTAAACCATATTTATATTTCAAAAGATGTAGACTGCCATACATAGATTTACTCTTATATTTAACTTTATGTGTTCAATTTTCAATGAAAAGTAGTCCTATGTGTAAATAAAATGCTTCATTTGGCTCTATGATCCTAACATCATGAAACAATTTGCAGAGGAATTACCAGCTTAATAGTAAGATTTCTGTCCTTATAAGGACAGAAAGTCCTTAAAGTTCAAATATTATATTCAAACTAGAGGCCCGGTACACGAATTTGTGCATGGTTGGGGTCCCTTGGCCTGGCTGGTGATTGGGGCCAATGGGGGATGGTGCAGCCTGCTGCGGGAGGGACTACGGGAGGTTGGCCCCAGCAGCAAGCTAATCAACGGCTGATTCCACGAGGAATCAGGCTCCCTCTTCCCTTCTGTCTGGGTCTGGGGTGCAGGTGAATCAGATTTGGGGCTGTCAGGGCCACAGCAGCAAGCTCTGGGTCAGTGTGCATTATAGCTACCGGCCAGTCATCCAGTCATTAAATCGTAACAGTCGCTTAGGCTTTTATATATATAGATAGTTTATTTCACTTGTTGGTGTCTCTCTCAGGTTATGGAATTATATTTGGGTCCATTTATACTTAAAAATGAGACAAGACTGGGAGACAGTCTGGCTCAGGTGGTATGGCCAGTAGGATTGGTGATTCAGGTCTATTTGTGTTTTGTCGGGCAGGGTTGGGTGGCAGAGGTAGTATGACCTTAGGTCGAAGAAGGAAGGGAAATAAGAAGATATATGTTTGGTGTTTGTGCAAAGTAATGTTTATTACCTGGGGAATGTGTAGATGTAGACATACCATAGACTTATTATTAGAAGTCATCTAGTTCAAGACCTCCTTTCCTATTCAGAAAACTAAAGTTTTGAAAGGATTAGTTACCTCCTTAGTGTCCCACAGCTAGAGTTGCCAAAGGACACTTGACTGTCACTTGCTTGCACTCTGAGCTACCTGGTTAGAGTAAGCTGTTGAGTGCTGTCCTGCCAGTTTTATAGTATTTTTATTTTAAAAATGTTTTATACACAGTCATTTGAAGATTGCCCTAATATACTGACCAAGGACTGGTCAGCAGCAGGAGGAGGTTTGCTGAGCTGACTCAGTTTCCT